GGCTTTGAGGGTGAAGTATAACATCAGAGATGAAATGGTCCTGCCATTCGAGCCGGTGAGTGCACCCAGACGTGTCCATCTACAGCACATAACGTGATATGCTCACTGATGAGAAACAAACCAGGAGCTGGGCTCCAGAGTTTCTATTTAAACTCCTTCTCAGCTGAAAGAGCTGGAAAACTTTCATATTTTATGAAAAGTTTTCATATTTTCCTGTAGGTACAACATTTGGTCTGTTAAGGGTTGCAACCAAGATTTGTTATTCTATGCTGTACTTCAGAGAGAAAGGAAAGTATCAGTTTTTATGGGAATTATTGTTTTGGGAAATTAAATGCATCATTATACTGATAACCTGTTGGTTGATTAAAACTTAGTGCCCTCATGGCCAGAGCAGGAGGGTATGTGTTCAGTGCAGAAAGCTGGAGTCCCTCGCTGTTGGTTCCACACGCCAGCTCCAGTCCTGGGGCAGCTCGGTGTGGTGTCATGTCACAGGATGTCACAGTCCTGGGCAGCTCAGGAGTTACCCTGGGGGCTCCCAGAACTTCTGGACGATGAGTGGAATTGCAGCCATGTGTTTTAAGTCCTGTGTAACTTGTGTTACCTTGTAACATCTTGTGTTAGATGCAGAGAATGTGGAGAGTGAGCGGTGGGATGCAGGAGGAGTTTGACAGCCCTTTGTTTATTCTCAGGTGCCCATCATTGAAATCCCAGGTTATGGCAGCCTTTGTGCTCCATTTGTCTGTGATGAGCTCAAAATCCAGAGCCAGAATGACAGAGAGAAGCTTGCAGAGGCCAAGGAGAGAGTGTACCTGAAAGGATTCTATGAGGGAGTAAGTAATATAAGATTTGGTAAGTGGTTTCTTGGTGAGTTTAATTAGGAGAAAAAAAAGGCAAGCAGAGAATTAGAAAAAGAAAAATCTCATGAAGGAGAGACAGTACCCTTTTTTCTTTAAAAAGTTCCAAAGGACTTTTCATTTAGTCTCTTCCTGCAGTAAGGTTCTGCAGTTGGAGGAGCGATGTAGAATTGGAGAAAGTTTCCACTCATACATTCCTGTGTTCTCTGAGCATTATAAACTGGTTTCTGAACAAGTGATAACCTTCTGGGGAGCTGATCCATTTTTTTGCAAGTATAGATAGGGAAACTGATATGAAATGATCAAGGTGTTATTGTTTGCAGATTTTTTTGTTTTATTTTTTGTGCTTGTTTTGGTTTGGTTGGTTTTTTTTCCTTTTTTTTCTCCTGTCTTTACCTCATTTGCTCACAATTTGTATTTCTCAGCTGTTCTTCTGTAAGAAAGCAATAGTTTTTATTTCTGACTCTTTGGAATCTGTCATCTATGTGACATGTGCAAACTGTTTTTGGGTAAAGATGACTACACATAATGAAAAAACCAACACCTGTACTCTTTATTTTTTGCATGTCAAAGATTGCAGCACCTGCTACTTCCTTATATTGATTTGAACCCCTGTGGCACCTATTTCTTGCTAAGTTTTGAAAAAAATTATCTCCTGTGCCCATCTTTTACAGTTGATGTTGGTGGATGAATACAAAGGACAGAAAGTTCAAGATGTCAAGAAATGCATTCAGAAGCTGATGTTGGATAAGGTAGGTGACAGAGTGACAGCTGACTCTGAATTGTCTGTTTTGTCCTTTTTGCAGGGTTGAGTTGCCAAAGAAACCCCCAGTGTGGTTCTGCAGCCCTCAGGCTGCTTTGGGTCACTGCAGAGAGAGGGACCCAGTGTTCTTGGGCTGAGCAATTTAGAGTTCTCTAGTTCCCTGCCTTATTCTGTCACCCTCCCTAGGACCTGTTCTGGTGGTCCAGTTTATTCTTTAGCTGGGAGGATACTGCAAGTGTAGGACCTGTCAAATCTCTTTCAGGCCAATGAAGGGGATGTGATGTGCAGATGCCTATTGCTGGGCTTCTCTTTCAGAAAACAGAGAGCAGTAAACAAACAGTGTTTGTGGCATCCCTCTAATGAGGCTCCCTGATGAGGATTGGGAGCGGGAGAGGCTTCAGGCATTTAGTCATTATTCCCTTGTTGTTGTGGCATTGTTATGTCCAGACTATAATGCATCAGCACGCATGGTGTGTGCAAGTAGACTTGAAGCTCAGCATCCCATTTTCCTTTGCCTTTCTGTCTCCCTTTGTCCCCCAGAGTTTCCTAGGAGCTGTTTCAATCAGGGGGCATAGTCAGTGGGGAATAGTTTGTGCTTATGTCCTCCATTT